TTTAAAATTTTTTTTTGGAAGCTTTTCTGCCGTTTTTTTTTTTTTGTAAAGCCATGTTTTGTCGGATAAAAAAAAAAAAAAAAGAAGTTTTGCAACGTCAACTTTTTGAAAAAGAAAAATCAGTCATTTTACGCCCCAGCAATTGCATGAAAACACTGGAGAACATCCTGGAGAGGCAACAATGTACTCCTACCTCTCTTCTTGAAGAAAAGGCAGACTCTCTGTAGGAAGTAATTTGCCTTTTTCATCAGCAAGTTTAACAAACAATTTCACAAATTGGTTCCTCTAAACTCCATGTTTCAGCAGCTGTTGAAAACTGAATCGAACAGTTCAGGAAACCGTCACGGATAAATGTACAACCGAGACGCAACGTGTAAATTGTTATGAGTGTGTTGACACGGTGATGGAGAAGCTTTGATGTGGAACCTTAAAACAACTTTTAGTCCAAATATGAAACTGGCCTATTTAAAAGAATGAAACGAATGACCCTGGCTTCCCCTGGCAACAACTGTGACAGGTTCAAATATGGTCATCTGAACTGCTGTGAAGACAGTAGAAATCAGGTCGGGTTACTCAGCAGATCTAGTAAAAGGCCACAGCAAAAAATCTTTTGACCATCTAAATGGAAAACAAATTTCCTGTAAAGACTGACTGTTTTACAATCCATTTAAAACGCCAGCAAGTTGGATATAGTGTTTCTTTTATCCGTTCTGTTTACAGATTTCAGAGATAAAAACCACTTCAAAAACAGACCTGAATAAACCAGAGACTGCGAAAGGTAATGCGTGGAAATGGATGGAACCCACTCAAGGATCAACGGAAGGTAAAGACCTCAAGGAATGAATAAAAAGCTAAAAAAAAAAAAAAAAAAAAATTTAAAAAAAATAGAGCGAGAGGACTGCAAGTTTATAGCAGGGAAGCAGCCGTGTTGCAATGAGACGACTATTTAGTAAATAACAGTAAACACACAGATCTATGCAGCTGTGCTGGCCTGGATGACCCAAGTTAGATTTGAGTGTTCCTATTAAACCGCAGGAGACCTAAATAGTGACACAGCACCTGCGCTACAATGAGGGGAGGCGAGTGCAGGGGTGTGAAAGGAAACAAAAAAAAAAAAAAAAAAAGGAGCAGAACTCTCCAGAAAGGTCGATTACGATACAAGCTGGCAGAGTTTAAGTAATAGTTTAGTTTATAACTTAAACGCTCAACTTCAAAAGAGAAACCGTGCCATTAGCTGCGGCTCTGCAAGAAAAAAAGAAAAAAAAAAAAAGAAAAGAAAACTTTCTTCTCGTGGGAAAAAAAAAATTATTCTTGGACAAGCTGGAAAAAGAAATCATCAAGTTTGACGTTATAAAAGCTGATCTAATTAAAAATTAGATGTTTGCCTTAGACGTGAAGTGTAAAGTTAAAGCATGCCAACCTTTGGAAGCATCGGAGTTGCTCTCTTGCTCTTCTTCTCTGAAGGATCGTCCAGCATGTCCGGCTCAAAGGTGTAGAGCTCAGCCAGCTCGTTCATGGTGAAGTGTCTCTCGATCTGCTGCTGATCCACAACTCGGTACGACAGAGACTGCTTGGTCACTTGCCGCTCATAAATCTTCTCCTCCATTGTGCCCTGGAAGAGGGGAATAAGAGCAGGGAAAACGACTATATCAGACAGTTGTGAAAGTATCTATTCTGGCAAAACTGATTGAAAATTTACTGGACAGCTAAAGAAAACAATGCTAAGGTCAGAAATTGATTTTGTTTTCTACCTATTAATTTCAATTCATTTCTTTATACATCATTAAGCAGTCAGACTTTCTTGAACTTTTTTTAGAGTGAACAAATACAAATGTATTTTCCTGCAGTTGATTGTCTACTGTGTGCAAACTTTGCTGGACGTAAATGGCATTTTGTGGTAAAAATGCACAATAAGCATATCGTCAACGACTTCCTGGACTGTCATGAGTGTTTGCTAATTAAGCAAAATGCATTCAGGATCTCAATGACCAATATATTTGGTGGTATACGTTTTTTATGGAGAGTTTGAGATGGTAATGTGAGAAACTACAAATAATTAGTTCTGATACCAAAGCAGTCTAAACAATAAAACCGTTTTTATGAAGATCAGAGGTAAAACTTTAGTTTTGCATTTGTCACGATCCGCTGTTATCGCAGCATTTACCAATATTATTGCGTTTCGCATGTTTTCTTTGCATTGTGCAGTCCTTTGCAATGCATTAAAAAAATTTTACTAACGAAATGGAAACAGTCTGAGAAAAACTGCTGGAAAAGTTTCCTCTTTCTTGGTCTGCGCCGTCCATAGTCGCCCCTGATTCATCCTTTGGGTTAAGGAGTCTTTTTATGGCTGAATGACTCGTTAACCAGAAACAAGTGGCTAAAACGTTTAAAAGACCTTTCAGTCAAGAGCACTTACGGCCAAATTTTATTTCACCCCTGCAATTTCTTCCCCTTAACACTGCACTGCTAACAAGGACATAGAACAGCGTTTCTCAATTCCAGTCCTGGGGCCCCCCTGCTCGGCGTATTTTAGAAGCGTCTGTTTCAGAACACCTGACTCAAATGATGACCTCCTCTGCATGCCATCAAGCAGTGCAGAAGCCTGATAATCACCCACTAACTCAAGTCAGGTGTGCAGCAGAAGGGAAACGCCTAAAACATGCAGGGCAGTGGTCCATGAGGACCAGAAATGAGAAACGCTGGGGAAAAAAAACATCAACAGGCCGTCAGATTTTCTTGGGATTATTGGCAACTTGAAAGAGTGTCGGAAACAGGGATGGGCATTTATCCTAATGTTTGTCATTTATCTTGATACATTTTTCATGAGAGTTTTGAATTATCATCCAATCGATTGTCTTTAAAATCCTCTAAAACTGTCCTCGTCTCCACTGTTTATCAATGAAGGCATCAATGAATACCATGAATGTTTCTCCAAAGCAGTATGTATGTTTGCGGGCTTGTAAGTACTGTGTCATACATCTAAAAAAAAGATGCAATAAATAGTTCTTATTGTCATTTAACGACATCACAATATTAATGCCCAATATTGTGATAAAACAAAGTCCATATCACACACCGAGTCGGAACAGTCAGGGAAAAAAAAAAGAGCTCACCTGAGCAAGGAACCTGTAGACGTAGACAGGTTTGACCTGGCCAAAGCGATACACCCTGAAGATACTCTGGATGTCGTACGAGGGATTCCAGGACGCGTCAAAGATGATGACCCTGTTGGCAGCCACCAGGTTGATGCCGAGAGAACCGGCTCGGGTGGATATAAGAAACAAACGGCCCCTGAGTGAGACAGAGAGAATATTACAGTAACATGATGTTTTGTGTTTCGGTGTTTATTGGAGATCGACGAAGCACCGCACCTTGTGTTACTGGTGTCATTAAAGTCCTCGGCCCACTTCTTCCTGGTGGGGGCGTTGGTGGAGCCGTCGAGGCGGTAATAGTCGATGTTCCTGAACCATTTTCCTTCTCCTTAACAGCCAAACATATTATTAGAAATTAAGCTTTTCTTTTGCAAGCAAGCACAATTTAAATCTGACATCAACTTTGGCTTTTCCTTGTGCAAATAAATAAAAATCTTATGGATTATAAGAGTGCAGAGAGATGGCTACGTCGGTTAAATGCAATGTTTTGTCTTGAAGATGGCCTACTCCGCCCACCAGCCTTAATAACCAACGTTTCGGCATGTTTTCAATTACGGCACTCTGATCTTTTCATTACACAATTACAAACCCTTGAGCAAACATTTTTTCACGGAATAAAAAAAAAAAAAAAAAAAAAAAAAAAAAAAAA